CCGTATGTGCAGCACCCAGCCAATCGATGTCCATCCCAGCGCCGCACAAAACGTTACTCCGCGTCTACCCGTCGAGGCCTCAATACTCTGCCCGCGTGCCTGGATGCTAGTAGGAGGGTTCGCGACGGGAGGCGGGTGGTTGACATATTCACGGCATATTCAGACAACCCCACGGCCCCTGACTAGGACTCTTGTGCTCGATGCTGCGTTACCGGACATGTCCCTGTCAGCAGACAGACGCAGACGCTGCTGTGGGGAGACGTGGAGTACCGTCCCACGTCTGCCGGACTCGTCTATTTGGCTGGCCGGCGGCTAGGCGCCTGGATGGGCTCTGCTTACGAAAAGACGGGGGGATAGGTATTATTGCTTCGATTCGTCGTTTGCGGGTTATACGGACGTGATGGACGGCATGGTTTCTCGAGTTTCACGCTGGTGCTCACTCTACGCGCGACTTCAGCCAATTATGATTGTATTACTTGCTTCTACGTGGGGGTACGGGATGCTTTACTCCCGGGATCGTTTTCTGGGGTTTCGGATACAGGTAATTTTGCCCGGGCTTCGCTTCGTGGCGTACAGGGAATTAGTCAACGGTGTGCGATGCTGCCCTGAGTTACTTGCGCTATGGCACCTCTGCGATGGCTTGTACGATGTGAAAAGAATGGGATCGGGGGATCTTATGAACTTCCGTTCCCCAAGTCATCGCGGTGGGAGTCATGGCCGGTGCGGAGGTCGGTTTTCCGTCTTCACCCCTTTTTAACCGCCTACGAAGCAAACAATGCTTTTACGGAAGGAGCAGATGGGGGTTGGGTGTTGTCACATTCCGTTCAGACGCGGCTTGCAAACAAACATGTCGTTGTCCCGGTAGCGCGGCTCCGTTGTATATAAGGCATTAGCTGTATTATGAAGGGGCGTGTGTTATTGCGTGTTGTTTTGGTTTGGGGGTTGGCGTCCTTCACGGTAAACATCCAAGCCGGCTCCGTACGGTGTTAGTGTTGCTTCTATAGTACATGATATGATACGATAGGCATCAAAAGTCAGTCGCGTTCCAGGAACGAGAGCAGTCCGCACACCCCGATCAGTCAGTCACCGTGAGCGTTCGCCTATATCCACGCCCGTTCGTCACGTCCACGGGCCTCGTTCTATCCAGACCCCCCCTTTCACATCGTGCCTTCCGCCCCCCGGCAGAAAGGCCTGCCTGCCTCCCGAGACTGGCGCTACCCGTGCACAGCTTCGCGCCTTCCACATGGCATCGGGGCTTCCCAGCACGAACAATCCCCCGCCGGCCGTCTGTGGTACCACCATTCCGCCCGCTCCTCACCTAGAGAGCCCGCAATATCCACCGCGACTCTTCCCTCTCCCTTGTGTGATCTTCTGTGTCGCCGCTCATCTTTTCCCCCTCCCGTTCTTTTAACCCTTTCATCATTCTTTTCGTTATCTCTCTCACGTAACGTTATCCCGGCTTCCCCCCCCTTTTTCTTTTCCGTGACACGGTGTTTGCTCTCGTGGGACGTCTCCCCCGTTCATCTGGGGATTGATCTCTTTCATCGTCTCATCGATAGCTGGCACGCGCGTTCACCCCACGGATTCCATCGCATCCATTCTTCTCTGATTTCCGCCGACGAGCGTGACGCACGACGACCCCCCGTCATACATGTATGTAACCGCTCTTCCCCCTCCCATCCGCCCTACCCGATGATTCACTCACTCGATTCTTTAATTTTTTTTTCCTTGCCTTCATTTTTTTTCCTTCTCCCGTTTTTTCACACTTTACTTCTCGCTGTCTTGTGTCGAACTTGCGACGGGATAGGCATTAGTATTCTGATCGCGTCTTAGATCACACGCGCGCCGCCCGGCTTCAGAGTTCGTTTAGCATTCATTTTGCTGAGGCCTCGTCCTCATCCTCGTCGCCATGTATCAGGCCACGAACGTTTATTTCATCTGCGGCTTCGCCGCCATCGGTAAGTCCCTGTTCCGCGACGCGGAATTCACATTTTAGCAGTGGGAGGTGCTGATTCGGTCTTGTTTAGGCGGCGGCCTCTTCGGCTTCGACATCAGCTCTATGAGCGGTGTCCTTGGTACCGCGGCTTACAAGAACTATTTCGGCAATCCGGTTTCGTACCGCCAGGGTGGCATCACTGCCTCCATGCCCGCCGGTTCTCTTGTTGGTGAGTAGGAGAGTTGATGGAAGGAGACGTGACTCATACGGGATTAATCGAGCTGACGGTTTTACCATAGGTTCTCTTGCCAGTTCGTTTATCGCCGATCGTTACTCTCGTAAGGTCGCTCTTCAGGTTTCTTGTATCCTTTGGGTCATTGGCTCTATGTAAGTCGCTATCTATGTGCTCGACGTGGCGCGGCAGTATATGGCTTCCGGCTCGCTAACTGTCGTAGTATCCAATGCGCTGCTGTCAACGTCGGAATGCTCTGCGCCGGCCGTGTGATCGCTGGTCTCTGCGTCGGTATGGCATCCTCTATCGTCCCCGTCTACCAGTCCGAAATCGCGCCCAAGGAGATCCGTGGCCGAGTCGTCTCGCTGCAGCAATGGGCCATCACCTGGGGCATTTTGATCCAGTACTTCATCCAGTACGGCGCCGCACAGGTAGGTGGTGGTCCTGATGACCCGAACCAGCCGACTGCCGCCTTTCGTATCCCTTGGGGCATCCAGATGATTCCCGCTATCATCCTTTTTGCCGGTCTCTTCTTCTTTCCGTATAGCCCTCGTTGGCTGGCATCCAAGGATCGCTGGGATGAAGCTATGAGTGTTCTGGCTAAGCTGCACGGCGGTGGAGATATCAACCATCCCAAGGTCCTCGCCGAGTACAAGGAAATCGAGGAGGCACTGCGATTCGAGCGGGAGGAGGCTGTGTCTAGCTTCAAAGCTCTGGTCCGGCCGCGCATCTTCAGACGCGTCATCTTGGGAATGAGTATTCAGATGTGGTCGCAGGTAAGTTGGCTCCCGAAGATTTGGTATCCTTCACATGGCAGACTGGCGCATACTGACTCTCGCGTGATTCAGCTTTGCGGAATGAATATCATGATGTACTATATCGTCTATATCATGGAGGGCGCGCAGATCGCGTCGCCCCTTACTACTGCGTCTATTCAGTATGTCATCAACGTTCTTTTGACACTACCAGCTATCCTGTATCTCGACAGATTCGGCCGTCGACCTGCTTTGATTATCGGCTCATTTTTCATGATGCTCTTCTTGTTCATTTCTGGTAAGTTTCGCACGCCTCGCGTCTGCAGTTTGTTCGCCTTGTATGTTTGCTTATTCGTTCGATTCAGGTGGTCTTCAGGCCGCATATGGCCAACCAAACGACGGCTCGGGCAACAAGGACATTACCTGGATCGTGAAGGATAATGCGTCCGCCTCGAGGGGCATTGTCGCCGCCTCGTATCTTTTCGTCGCCACCTTTGCAACAACCTGGGGCCCTACTTCCTGGACCTATCCCGCCGAGATCTTCCCCAGTAAGGTCCGCGCTAAGGCCGTGTCGTTGTCCACAGCCTCGAATTGGTTCTGGAACATGATCCTCGCGTTCGCCGTCCCTCCTCTTCTGTGGTCTATCAACTGGAAGATGTACATGATCTTCGCCGCCTTCAATGGCGCGGCCTTCATCCATATGACGTTGATGGCGCCTGAGACTAAGGGATACACCCTTGAGGAGATGGACGACGTTTTCGACGCCGGACGCCCCGCCTGGAAGACTCACCAGAAGAAGAGCAGGCTTGATGAGCTCACGGCAGACATTGAGTTGGGTAATGTTAAGGTCACGACTCCTGGTCGCCCAGGTGACACCTCTGCGTCTACAGCTGTGGGAGATGGACCTGGTCCTAACGCCGACGCTGGCAAGGTTACGGCGCACTCACGGGAGGCGGAGGTTGGTACCAGTGATTAGGGAGCTGGCCTGCGTGCAGTCCAATACCTCCCTCCACCTGCAAACGTGAGCGGCGGCTGTACCTTCACCTAGACATCCCGGTGGTTTCGTCGGGGATGCCTTGAAACGGGGCTGGATTAACCCTAACTTGGTGGTTTGGCGGTAATACAGTACAAAGTTGGGAATGGCCCTGTATAGCAGTTTCTTTTGTCTGCCCATTTTTTGCGGCTTTATGGACGAGGATTGAATGCTATGGCTGGGGAGTTGATACGTGTTTTTACCTACCCATTTCATATGGGGGACGGACTTGTCTATGTACCTAGCTAGGTATGAGATGAGTGCTGCTATGCAGTTCTAGGTATGACTCGTTAGTTTTCTGCGGATAATATTCGCCTTCATCACTTTTTGGTTTTTGTTTTGACTTGTGACCTGTGATGAGACTGTTTTTTCGGTATATTATGCTAGTCTTTCAAAGGGTAAATAAGGTAGCTGTATCTAGACGGTCTCTGACATGTCTTTGGTCGGTGGTCGTGGTATTGATACCTGGCGTCGCCCGGATACTTGACGCTGCCTTTTTGATAGGCTTTGTTTGGGAGCTGTGTCGAGCGGTTAATGTGGTTTGTTTATCTAAGCCTGTAAGTTGTTTCGAGTCTTGAAACTTGAACTATGGTTTGTACGTTTGTGAAAGTCAAGGGTGGAGCGGTTAGGGTGGGATGTTGCGGGGGGTTGATTTGGATGTGTGCGATGGTATTTATCTACAGGTATCTCGGGAGTGATGGGACTGGTTGGGGAGTTGGTGAGGGATGTCTTGTTAATTTGTGGATTGTTTTGTTGTTTGTATCCTGGGTTGGAGGCGTTGGTGTTTTGTTTTTTGCATGCTGGGGAGGGGAGGGATGGGGATGAAATTGAAATTGAAATTGGGACTGAAACCGAAAACTAAACTGAAAATGAAACTGAAACTGGAACTGAGGCGGAAAAAGTGGGAATGAAGCAGGAAAAGTGAAAAGTAAAACATGAAGCGGAAAGAGGGAAAATGAAAAGGAAGCAGAGAAAGTGAAAATGGAGCGGGCATAGTCTAGGTTGTTAAGAACGAAGCGAAACAAAAAAGATCGCAGATTGATCTGCCCCCATCCCGGATCGAACGAGAGACCTTGTCATACTCTTGCACTGGAGTTGGGTACAAGTGACACGCGCTACCACTACGCCATAGGGGCTGAACCTTGTCGGTTGGGGGTGGGGATTCTTGATGGAGTTTATTAGCTGGTGCTGCTGGTTCTTGGATAGTACTACGGTTCTGCTTGCCTGCGTCCTTTATCGCTTGTTTGGTCGCTACTTTGGTGGGATTTATGATGGCGGATACGGCTGGGAGGGGAATTCTATAGAAGAAAACTTGTGTCTTGAGCTGTTTATGTGGTGGTTATCTATCTGTGTAGGTTATGTTGGCGGTCTGTCGTGCGAACTACCACCCTGCGGAATTGGCTGGTGTCCGTGTAGATATTCCGCCCGGAGTCGGGTAGGTAGATAGGCACTTGTCTACTCCCGACAAACCGTAAAGACAGCAGTTGTGAATTAAGATCGGAAACCTACCTAGGTGTCTGAAGCGCACAAGGCGTCAATAGCAATAATCCCCCCCCGAAAGCTTGAGCTGTCGTGGCTCTCGGCTCTCGGCTCGGCGGCTTGCCGATGACGATCGCCCCGGTATTGAAGTCGGTACCTCAACTCGAGAGAATCTTGCCATGCGGACCCTGGGTATGGCGCAACGTCTACCTACGATGGAATCGGGGTTGTTCTTTGCTGATCGTTTGATGGGGCTTCGTTTCCGCACCGCTTGTTGATGAGGCTCTTGCTCTCCTTTTCCCTTGTGAGTTTCTTGGGGCTGCTGAGCTCACTGGAGACACTGCAGCGTTTCCTCCCGATGTAAAGCTGGTGCGCTTTTAATTGTGTGGTATCATTCAGAGATATTTTCTATGTAGACTCCGACCTAATCCTCGCTGATATAACATCTCCGTAACCAGACGAAAGCCTGGTTTGTCGGGCTATGGGCGGACGGGCCCGTCGCAGATGTCTGATGGCTCCAGGTTGCGGTCTAAGTTGCAGCGTTCTTTCATTTCACAACACTTGTTAGATGCCTTACTGGGGGAAAAAGTCACTTGGCGACTCGTTTCTGTTCTGGTATATTTCTATCAGTTGTTTCCGGGTTGTCTGGCTCAGGTCCTAACCGAGCTGGATGGTGTTGCAGCGTTCCAACTTCCAGTTGCGCGATGTCGCTATGAAGATTGTTCGCAACTTGGGCGGACATTGCCTGAGCCACAAGTAGCATTATGTGCGCGGTGCGATTGGTCCAATTCGCCATTAGCCACCGGAAAGTGGATGTCAGCCACGAACTCCTTGGGCCAAAGCGCCTGAGCCGGGAACACGCGTTCATCTCGTGCTTCATCTTTCTGCATCATCCCGGATTCAGCTTCAGACCGTTCGAGATAGGTCACTGTTTCTAGCCTTCCAAGCACCCGTGATACGCATCGCATGTGAGCCCATGCTGAGTCTGGTCGACTATCTAGATTGAATACTTCTCTGCTAATTATAGTTGGCGAATGCCGTTCCATCGCGAAGACGAGGTAAACCCCGCTTTGTCAATCTATCAAAAGGGAACGGATTTCTCTCCATCGTAACACCGCAACAGCCCAATCCTTATCAATCAATGGATCCTGGCTAGGTGGTAACATCTGTTAACCGCTTACCTATGGAGAAAAGAACACGGCGACTTGTCATGAAGCATAACCCACGACAACGTTTGTTGTCGATGGTGCTCGACAGACTAGCTCACAGCCTTGCACCCTAATGCGGCGATTGAACAGCGCAGACACCTATTTCTGGAAGGCAATACTCATTCTTGAAGCTGCGGACGGAATAGATTTGATGATCCGGCTGGAATACAAAGGCCAAACCCCTGATATGGGCGCTCGCAACCCGCAATTGCAGTATGCCCGTATTTGGCGAATTCGGAAGGGGTCGAAGATACAAAAAATCGTCTTCCGTATATAATGGATGCCGATGCGGATCTTCACCTGAAAGCACGACGATCATGTCTCCGGTGACAGCTGGAAACCAGCAACAAAAATGACTCTCGATCGGGGAATCGAACCCCGGCCACCTGCGATTACTTGCGAGTACTAGAGGTTCCACTTACGGGAAGATTAGATCGCCATCAGTGACAAGCAGGTATCCTCACCACTAGACCAATCGAGATATCGGCTTGCTGTGTGGATACAGCCCGGCATAGGACAATCAATAATCTGGGTTCCGGACACGAAGCCCTAAACGATAGACAGCATCGATAAGGCCAAAAAAGGATAGCCACCGGGAGGATCCTCCTGGGTGCCAGACTCAGATTCAGACTCAGACTCATCAGATACTGATGATAGATGGGCTTGGCCGGGGATTGAACCCGGGACCTCTCGCAACTTTGCTTTCGGGTATACCCTAAGCGAGAATCATACCGCTAGACCACCAAGCCGTCCTGATCTGGTTGTTGTGTCGCTGGCCGTTCAACGAGCTAGAAGATTCTAGGTGGATCATAGAGGGAGTGTTCGAACAGGGGTTCGATGTTTATGGCTTAGATGCCGCAGTGAGTGGATCGGACGGGCCAAACGGCTGTGTTTCAAATCGAGCCGCATTGTCTGCAGCGTTTGTGCGCGCAGTTGTCGGTAAGTATCTCGTATGCCGGTACCCTATGCCATCCGCGGAATAACTTATGGACATCGTCATAGATGTTATCTAGATTACTGACCGATCTTACGTAACCCGCTGCTTAGTAACACATCGAGGTTTGCGAAGGTTTGCTCGTTCCGCGGTGCTAGCCGGATCTGGGATGGTGGGGCATTGCGTGATCATCGCCTTTCAGTGCGAATTCAGAAGGATCGGATTCGCCGCCCTTTTCAGCCTTACCACCCGTTCAAATTCCCTCTGCCCGCTGGCGCTCCGCCCGACCGGATATTGCTAACGGCCCCCGACACCCGCTGCCGACGCTGCCATGTCTTGCGCCATCGCAGCATGTGAATAACACAATGGCCATCGTCAAGGACTGCCGCCTACTGTTCGGCGCAGAGGCGGAGGGAAGTTTTTTTTTTTTTCCTGCCGGCTTTAGTAATTCCGTCGTAAGACCTATATATGCGCTGGCCTACTTCGTTTGGGTTCCGCTATGGTGTAAGTCATATATTCCGACGCTTTTATATACCAGCGTCTAGTTTTATACACGTAGTCGCCAAGTATTTGCAACTACCTCCACGCCCACACGCCCACTCCCCGAGGTATTTATTTGAGGATACCTTTACCTTGCACCTAGTGTTCTGGTCAAGCTCGTAAATCCGATCTCCTACTTGTCCTGTTATTTTCATCATTCAATACCGGGGACAGGCACCCTGACTCTTCACTCCAGGAGGCACTGCTCTATAAGTCGTCGAGATGCAGTTGATACAACCTGGAGGGACCGGTAGCCCTGCCGGCCAGATTACAGTGCCTGAATCTCAGACGGAGCATGTCGAGTTCACCAAGCAGTCTGCCTGCCTACCATTCGGTCAGGCGGTGCCGTTGTCTACCATATCAGGTCCTACCTACGTTACTGGTCAGCTGCTCGTTCAGCAGATCGCTTATGCCTTGTCCGACAAGATCTTCTCCTATTCTGCTGAGGGTTTTGACTTGGACGTCGCAGCTAAGGACTGGGCTGCGCGCCAGGACAAGAATATCCATGGCTATACGACTTCCGTTCTGCCATTGCAGACTCGCACCGGTGCTGGCGCTTTTGCGCTGGGCTACATCTTCTCCAAGGATTTCGACCTGAGCAAACGACACATCCCGCAGACTCTATTGGCGCCTTCGTTGAGCTTGCGCCACCTGCGATCCGCCTTGGACCAGTTGTCTCTACTTTATGGGGTTGCCAGCCCCTTTGTTGCACACGTGGCTGCCGCGGACTATTCATCAGACAGCGGTCTCGTCTCCGACTATGGCAGCGCCCTGCAAATAGCTGAAGAGATCGGCCTAGCTTTGGTCTCCAGCGCCTCCGCCTACGAGTCTCAACATATGTCCTTGTTCGCTACTCTGTTGGCCAGGGTTCTCCCCACGCTGCACGTGTACGACGGTGTCCGTACATTCCGCGAGACTCTGCGGGTGATTGATACGCTGAGCCTGGCGGGCGTTGGCGAGATCTTCAATAAGCTGTCCCAGTCCGTTGATAACCTCAACAAACGTCTTGACAACGCTGGTAAAGTTTTCGAACTTCTCCAGGCCTTCAATGGTGAACTTGGCACCGAATACCAGCCTTTCGAATACTCCGGCCACGAATCCCCCGATACGGTCTTTGTTGTTTTTGGCAGCGTGGAGGCCCAGCTCGCCAAGCAGGTCGTCTCTAGTCTTGCGGCGAACGGCACCAAGATTGGTGTAGTTAGCGTCCGGATCTACCGGCCCTTCATTGAAGAAGCTTTCATCAAGGTCCTTCCAGCTTCAGCTCAGAGTGTTCATGTCTTGGGGCAGGTGTCCAATGATGCTGCTGTTTCGGACGCCTCTATTCAATCGATACTCTACTCGGATGTCCTAACTGCTGTTGCTTTCTCTTCCAAATGGACGTCAGCGCCTGCAGTGGTCGATGTGAAGTACTCGGCCTCGCAGGTAGTGACTCCTACTAGCTTGGCAGCCCTTCTCTCAAAAAGCGCAAGCCATACGACAACAGAGTCAGAAATTCATTTGGCTGATATAGCAATCGCCGAGCAATACGTATTCTGGGATACCGATGACTCAGCTGCACTCTTTGCTCCTACCATTGTCAGCGACCTGCTCTCTAAGGATTCTACCAAGAACGTTTACTTGAGCGAGTCGTATGACAACCTCATACAGGGTGGTGTTGTGCGAACAGATCTCCGATTATCACAGAAATCAATTGACGCCTCTTACCCCGTCGAGAAAGCTGATGTTGCGGTCCTGGGTGAGGAGAAGCTCATCAAGGATCTCGCCATTTCAAAAAGTGTCAAAAATTTCGGTAGTTTGCTTCTACGGCTATCAAACTTCAAGGAAGAGGAGATCGAGCGGAGAATTCCAGAGTCCGTACGCCAAGACATCCAGAAAAGCAATATTGCCCTTTACGTTCTCGACACAGCCCTTTCACCCGCTTTTGAAGCCGATACCGATACTACTCGGCTATTGGTGGAACTAAGCTTCCTCAAGCTTGCAAAGCCCAGCTTGAAGCAGGACGTCCTCCAGAAATTGTCCGAAGTGGAAAGTAGCAAGATCAAAGTAGAGGAGTGCATCGATGCTGTCGGCAAGTGCCTAAAGCAGATCCAGGTTCCGGAGTCATGGGCGGAAATTTCGGCCGACGCTCCTCAAGCAACCGCCAAGACTCTCAAGATCAACAGCTTTGCTCCATTCAACAAGCAGGAAGCCGAGCCGCAAGTACAAGTCAGTAACTGGCAAGCTGCTGCGAGGGGCCTCGTCTTCAAGGAAGCCTACTCGACCAGCATCAGCCTCAGGCCCGACCAGTCTGTCCAGACATATACCATTCATGTCAAAGAGAATCGCAGACTCACGCCTACCACCTACGACCGTAACATTTTCCACATCGAGTTCGACCTCGGCAACTCCGGTCTTACTTACAAGATTGGAGAGGCTCTTGGTATTCATGCCGAGAACGATCCAAAGCAGGTCCTCGAGTTCATTGAATGGTACGGTCTGAATGCAGGCGAACTCGTCCAAGTGCCTTCCCGTGACAACGCAGCGATCGTCGAGACCAGAACTGTATACCAGACATTGACCCAAAACATCGACATATTCGGCAAGCCGCCGAAGCGGTTTTACGAGTCATTGGCCGAATTCGCCACCGATGATCTGGAGAAGAAGAAGCTGGCTTCGCTGGGTGCCCAAGAGGGCGCCGATGAATTCAAGCGTCGTTCCGAGGTCGACACGGTCACCTTCGCCGACGTCCTGGAAGAATTCAAGTCCGCTAGACCCAGCTTCTCGGACCTCGTCCGCTTGGTCGGCCCCCTGAAGCGCCGTGAATATTCCATCGCCTCCGCCCAAGCCGTCACGCCCACCTCCATCGCCCTCATGATCGTCGTCGTGGACTGGGTCGACACCCGAGGAAGAACCCGATACGGCCAAGCCACGCGCTACCTAAGCGAACTCCCCGTCGGCACGGCGATCACCGCGTCCGTGAAACCCTCGGTCATGAAGCTGCCCACGCGCGATGACGCCCCGCTCATCATGGCCGGCCTGGGTACCGGCCTAGCCCCCTTCCGCGCCTTCGTCCAGTACCGCGCGATGCAGAAGGCGCAGGGCAAGGACATCGGCGCCATACTCCTCTACCTAGGCTCGCGCCACCAGCGCGAGGAGTACCTCTACGGCGAGGAATGGGAGGCGTACCTCGACGCCGGCGTCATCACGCTGCTGGGCGCGGCGTTCTCGCGCGACCAGCCGCACAAGATCTACATCCAGGACCGCATGCGGCAGACGATTACCGACATCGTGAGCGCGTACATCAAGAAGGAGGGCTCGTTCTATCTCTGCGGCCCGACCTGGCCCGTGCCGGACGTCACGGACGTGCTGAAAGAGGCCATTGCGCTCGAGGCTAAGATGGGCGGGCGCAAGGTCGATCCTACGAAGGAGATCGACCGGCTTAAGGAGGATGGGCGGTACGTGCTTGAGGTGTACTAGATGGTAATTCCCTCTTTTGCCCCTTTTTTTATTGGGATGAATTTGTTATGAGGATATGATGGCATGAGATGATATCTTACACTAGGTATCTCGCGGGGTCTTTTTTTTATAGAGCGTATCTTGATCGCATTGTGGCTGTATAGATCGCATTTTATTCCATTGGCTTTTGCTGTGGTGTCTAATCAATTACTTGCTTGTTCCCGCCGTGCGAACCCGGAATGTTCTATGTTTCGATATTTTTATGTTGTTGATCCGTCTCTGCTCCCGCTAGATAATTCCTGATTGTTCGGCGAAGCGGACGGGTTTCAGATGTATTATTGGCTTTTTTCCAAGTTATACGCAATGATTGCGGTTCTCTCCGTAGGACATGGTCAACACCACGCTGTATCCAGACGGTAACGAAGATCCGTCATGGGCGAACACTAGATAAACAATTCACCAAGCCCAAACCCAAAATCTATAACCCATCAACTCCATCATAAACACCAATTCACGCGGTCTAAGTGATGTTCCCAAAGGGTATATCCCAACCAGAAATCCGTTCCAATCCA